CAATTTTGCACAATACTCGTTGTTTCTTCGTCAAAAGCACGTTGAACGACGTTTCTTATTAGTGTCCCACGCAGTCCCAATAGTTTCGATCGAATGCTAAAAATAACGATGTGAAACTGTAAAGCCGATAAATTTACATTGCGATGAATAGCGATTGGTCGAATGAAAATTCGATCTAGACACGTTGTAGGAAACAACGTGCAATGATTGAGAATACGAATAAGTTGGATGCGCGAAGATGCATACTTCCGGCGGCACCGGAAGCGTGACTGTAAACGCAAAGACTAAACGTTTACGTTCGTACATACGGTTGTATAGCTAGTAGAAAAGATATAGTGAAGTTCATAAAATTGGCCAACCATTCATTACAGTTAATGTGTTAAGAAACGCAAATTACCTTGATGAACAAATTTCCTTTTCATTTTGAAATTCATTTTAGATCAATTTTCTTGTGATAATATAAAAATGAATACGATAAATCTTTTATCAAATATAAAATATCATATTGGTCTTTTCTTGATACTTTTCAGAAATACGTTTTATACCGTACTATTTTTAGAAATTCATGATTTATTATGCTCGTAACCACGTAATGACACTACAGAAATTTTAAATTAGTTAGTTCTCAGAAATTTAATTTATTTCTACGATATAATTAATATTTTAACTTCCTATTAATTAGAATTTTATTTATTTGTGAAAAAAGATAGTTTCTTCTTGTGATCTAAAAATTAGACACTAATGATAACGATACCATGCAGTGCAATAATACAGTGATAAATAAATAAACTGAGAGAATTAAAAAAGTTGTATGTATAGTTATAAAACTTATCACTATATCATTTCCACCAACTATACACATCCTACGAACGTATGGAAGCAAAGCGAACGTTGACGAGCTGGTTTCTTTTAATCTACAATAGCTTGTAAATAATTTTATGTGTCATAATGTTCCTCGATCTTCTTTTTCTCTTATTTTAATCTCACTTCCTTTTTTTTTTTTTATCGTTAGTTAGTTCGCCAATAAATGTTTGCGTCTTATTTTCTCTTTTTGTTTCTTTTTTTTTTCTTTCTTCTTCTTTTGTTTTAATGTCGACTCGTCGTGTAAAGTTGTGTAAAGTTAAATAAGCTTTGTAAGTGATTTTAGCCTCTTTAGAAAAGTAAGAAAAATACGTGTAAACGTGCGATGATACACATGCAACACGTGCTCACGATCTCCGTTCTTATTCTCTTCGAATTTTCCTTTTTTTTTTTCAGACCGTCGTTTGTTCGCGTTGCGTTATATGCGACGAATGCAGAAAATATTCAGAATCAGTCGATGAATTTGTTCCTTCCAGAGAGTTACAAGCGGCAGACGCTTTGAATCGTCACTCAAAACTTAACACAACGATCGAAGATTGCTCTCGATTCTAGTCAAAACGCGCGAAAGATCATTAGTACACGATTCTTTCCCGAATAAGGCTCGATACTATCCTGACACGAATTCACAATGAGACGTGAACCAATATATAATAGACAGAATGCGGATTTTTATTTTAAAAGGTAGAGAACGCACGTATCATGATAAAGTATTGTAGCATATATAATATTAATATTCAAAGTGTAGTGCTTTCGATACAGTAAAATCCCAGTTATGAATTCCACTTATTCGATCTAAATTTTAATCAGTTACATAATTAAATAAACTCTTGTTTATTTGTTCTTCAACAACAAATTAATATAAACGGAGCGTTTGGAATGTAAAGCAATTTTCCTTTTTATCACTTCAAAAATCTGAATTTGCATAAAAAAACTCCGCGGTCTAATAATGAATAATGACAGTATCGAGCATCAGCGATTCAAATTGGGATTTTACATCGGAGTTTCTTCGAGTTTCGCGAAGACGAAGAGAGAAGAATGAACTCGGTACCCTCTAAACGTGATCGTTATAATTCCAAAATGATCGTGAGCACGTAAGCCCAGGTCGGAGTATTCTGTAAAAGCGTTTGCTATGATGTAATTATTGTTTTCGTCGGTGTATAGTAAGTTTTAACACGTGTGTGGGCAGGCAGGCCCAAGCTCAAAGCTTACAATAATTAAACAGGAGAGAGAGAGAGAGAGAAAAAGGAGAGGTAATTAATATATATCTGTATAAATATATATTGAGCGCGTGTTTTTTGGTACCAGCGATTAAAAAGAAAACAAGAAAATGATTAAGAAAACAAAAAATAAAGCGAAGAAGCTAGGATGAATCGACTAGATATACGCCGTTTAATTTTCGCGAGCGTTCTTAGACGTCTTTTATTGCGCTTACGACGGCCGATTGATCTAAATTGTACATGTACATATGGATTCACTTGTTATCAATAATATTAGAGAGTTCAATTAAAAGGGCTGTTATACGTGTCCTGAGTTTTTTGCACGGGAAACGGATGGGAGAAATCGAGAGGTAAGAAAGAGATAAAATTGGAACAAAGTGAGTTTCCTTTTTCAATTTTTTTTTACACGTCGATCATCCTTTGTCAAAAGATCGATAATTCTTTTTATGATAATTCTATATTCCTCTTCATCCTCCTTTTCTTTTAAATCGATTGACAAATCACTGGATGCTCCGAGTAACATGGAAAGAAAGTATAACACCGTCTTTTTTTTTTTTTCCAATGAATTCTCTAGGAATATCATCGACAAGGATAAAGAAAAATTGAAACATGTCGACGAGGAATACGTTAATCGAAGTTTCGATGTATTCCAACGATCGTGCATTTTCATGCGTTTTCTTCTATATTTTATATTTCCCTTCGAAATCAGAGATATACAGAATTATGCGTACGCAATATATATACGGCAGACACGTAAATATACATATTAGTTATACGGACCTCACAATAAATTTTCATTCACGGCTAAAGCGAAACAACAGTTCCAAGTTTCTTAATAATTATGAAAACACGCGAACGTTCGTGTTGTATCATTGTAGCCTATTCATTCTCGGATTATTCAAAAATTATGTTAATTATTAAATTATTGAAATCAAACGATTCATTTTTTTCATGATGAAGTAAACTGATTGAGTTGCTGTGGAAACGGATTGAATCTTTGTAAATTGCTGAAAACTATCAACAAAAATAACTCGAGAATTCGCGGAGATCAACTGTTGCATCATTACGAGGCCTCCCTTTTGTTTGAATCGTCCTAGAAACTAAATAAAAAGAATATCATAATGATATCGAGGAAAATTTCGAAGGATTTAAAACACAATTCTTTCTTCTTCTTGAGTAAGATATAAATTAAACGTCGAAATGATACGCACGCGTACATGAAAAAGGAAAGAAAAAGAACGAGAGAGAAGAGACAGTATATAATAAATTTCTAACAATTGAACGCTAGCCTTCTTTTTAATTCAACTCCCCTATTGTTGATATAATGAACATGAAATAGCTATATGTGATATACATTATTATAAACATAATATTCGGATACAGGATATCATTGTTATTAATCTATAGAATAATTAAAAACGGCTTGTGTCCTGGGCGTAACACGTGGTCGTTTTATACTGTGAACGCTACGTAATCGTTGTACAGAATATTTCCTTTTCTTTTATATATATATTACATCTATGTATATGTATACACACGTGTCGTACGTATACGTACGTCATATTGCAGAAGTACAATATAAAACGGCGAAACAGGCGTTTGTAGCTTCGTTTTCTAGAGAAGTAATTGTTCATCTGGTGTTGCATCCGCGTGAAATGTATTTGCATGATTTTTGACTTTCGAAACGCTTTCTCACGTATATTGGTGTAAAGAAGCGTGTGCGAAGCGTCGTTGTTCCAGCGGCGAAGAAAAGTTAATTATTAATCGATTCTCCGTCGCGTGTGAATCGTTCGGTATGATCTTTTGTAATGTACAAAAGACGAGAAAGAAAGAGGACGTTGGATCGATAATTTCCCAGTCGCATCTCAGGACACAAGTGGATGTATAATGCAATTAGAAAATAGTGGAAGAACTCGTGGTAATAATTCTGTATGCTTAGAGAGAGAGAGAGAGAGAGAGAGAGAGAGAGAGAGAGAGAGAGAGAGAGAGAGAGAAACGAAAGCAACAATAAGGAAAAGTTACAATTTTAAGAGGATAAAAGTGAAAAAAGAAAAAAAACACTATGTTGTTGATGTTTGTAAGCTTGAAATATAAATGTAACGCAGTTTTCGATATTCTATTACAATCCTAGTTCACCTGTACCGTTCGAAGAACTCGATGTCTTCTTATCTCTTGTTATCTACTACTCTTCTCCTTTGCGATGTTTTTCAAACATCGCCACTGCGTTTACGAATTTCCAGTGCATGGAAGAAGAAAGTAAGATCTCTCATCGTGTCTAATATTATTAGTAATCGAAAGATATAGATTGGCACACACTTTCCCCCTCACTAGCTCAGAAAATCTCTAGCACCAACCACATACCCGATACAGTCGATTTTCCTGATCGAGATATCGTTTCAACGACGATCGTCGAAAATGACCGATAAAGAGAAAGACGTGTACACTGTGAACAAAACACGGAAAGTAATCTTAAGAAAAACATGCTTTGTAAATGATAACATTTTTTTATATTTGTATAACGTTTAAAGCTAAATACCGACAACAAATCAAGTAAAATTACGCGGGTTACAGAAAAAAGAAACAGGTGTCAACGATGATCACAATTATTAATCTCTTACAGCGTAACGTGATTCACATATCACGCTCAGTTGCTCTTGGAAATCTGCTTGGTTGAGTCACGTCGACATGTCAAAATGATCGATGACAATTTATCATGACGCCGGTACAAATAAAATCTTGTAGAAAGAACTAAAATGCTCCGGTTAATTGAGAACGAGGATCTTTCTCCGTTAGTCTTCGCGTTAAATGCTATAGAATGAAAATCAAATCCGATTCCGTTGAAAAGACTGTATCGCGGTAAGTAACGGAAGACGTATATTTCTTATTACACTTGAAAATCTCTTTTTTTTTTTTTTTTTTTCTCCCCTATTACGAGATTCGTTACGAGTTTTACGAAGTTAGAGCAGGAAAAATATGTTAATTTTTTTTTTTTTTTTTTGCTTCCTTTTCTTCTCTTTTGATTATCATTAGAAACATCACGGAAAACAGAAAAATGATGAACGTGCACCGATAAGTAACGTTCGTTTTAGTTTACAAGAGTATTTTTTCCTTTTTTGATTGCAATGGGACAACAAATTGGAAGGAGCTTCGCGATGTGAGAATAGGCACGGTGTACAATTATTCTCGTTTTTCCTTTTCCGCCTTCTTTTTTTTTTTTTGTTCCTTTAATGAATGAACCTTGTTACTTTGCGGCACTTGGGTACAGTTTTTATTATTTTCCTTTGTCTTCTTTAAATCTTTTTCCTTTTTTTTTGCCTCTCTGTTATTTTACGTTCGATCTGAAATCACTCAAGGGAATCTACAAATAATATAGCATCTCTTTCGAACCTGCTTTACGCGTTCTTAACTGACGAATTTGATAAAACACACTTAAGATACCGCACAACTGAAAAGACTAGTCAGTCATAAGGTATCTCTAAGGTTTTGTAATTTTTTCTTTTTTTTATACGATCGTTACGTATCAATATTAGTAAAGACTATGCTCGTACTTTACATGCCGGTAAATACATAGTAAAACAAGCATATCGTAAAATTCTACACAGTTAAGATTCTCTTCTTAAAGCGCGTTGCTTCTAAGATTTTCGGACTAAAATGAATTTTTATAGATTTTCAAGCGATAGCTCGTATACATGTTTCAATAAAGAGATTGATATAGTGGCTAAGTGATAAATTTAATCTTCGATTTACATGATATTCGCAGAAGGAAAAATTTCTAGAACAATTCCTATTCAATAGAAGTTTGATAAATAACGGAAAAATTGTATATAGGATTTTCAATTAAAATAAATAATTTCGAAGATTGTTATTAGGCAGTTTGTAATTTGTAAATTATTAATTATGAGTAAAACTTGAAAAACGTTGTTTTATATAAGAATGATATGTAATAAATGTGAAAGTAAATTGATCGCTATATATATATATATCGGACAATAAAAGATTTCTTAATTCGCACAACATCGTAAGATTAGTCTAACAAATGTAATATACTCCGCATCTTAAAAGCAATGCGCCCAACAATCCGATACACACGAACATTAAGTTGTATTGCCTCAAATGCAATTGCGAGACTCTTGCTATAGATAGATTTAGTCTTTATTCACAATGTTAACATAAAACAAAGATCCATAATTATTGTTCGAAAACCTACGATTTCTCGGCTAAACAAATATACTTAGACTTCTTTTTATTTTGTTCCGGCTAGTGTTACGATCCCGATAAATCCTAGCTAATACATGTAAATATTTATTTTATGCAGATATCCTTTATAGACATTTTCTTTCGCCTCGTGCGCGTTTGTTCTCTCATACACGTGTACATGCCCATTTTATTCCCCCGCGTTTGCGCTCAGCACGTGTCGCACCACAGGAAAAGCTCGATACGATCGAAACAACGAAAGAAAGAATCTTTCAAAACGTTGCGCGCGGTCGGGTGCATGTAAAATCAAACGTACGTAATAAATCATTATTTACACTGCGTGTGTATATCAACGAATGATATTATCGGCCATCTAATGCAGAATTTTCGAGGATATTAATATTCCCCCGGTTCGAATGTTGATCAAAAAATGCATCGCGAGTTGAAACACATGTTACTTAAAAGCATTACAAATTAAATTCCGTAGCAGCTGTGCAAACGTTATGCTTCCGAATATTTACCATATACTGTAACGTGGATACGGTAATATTATAATAGTAATTCTTTTTTTTTTTTTCTGTCTTTCGCTGTGATATTAATTGCCTACAATTCTTGTACACATGGTCTTATATGTATGGGTGCAACGCCAATGCCCTACCGCGCAAACCTCTCTGACCTCCAACTCCTCCTTTTGGTATCACGTATCCTCCAGCGTGTCTAGCTGTTCCTTCCTCTTCCAAGTTGCCATTGCTCTCGATTAAGTCACGCAACGGCCAACAAGCTAAATGACGTGATTTTCCATGACGCGCTAAGACATGATATCCTTGTCTGAAACGCGTGTCGTGATGTAACAATAGAATGTTTATTCTGAATTAAAGTCTAAAAGTGATAAGAGAAAAGATGACGTACCTAGATGAAATTAGACCCACAAGTAGTGCCCAATGAGCTTTATGGCCTCTTTTTAAGCATGGAGCATGATTGAAGTCAGAATCGTATGGAATTAGTACCATTGCACCATGGGCAAGAGCATGCGTCAATGTATCTGGGCATTGTTGTAAATCTACTAAGATATCTGGTCTATGGTCAGGCAAATATTCAGCAGCTAATGTGCCCATGAAATCAACACTGTACACTTCTCCGTGTTGTGTAAAACCCCTTACACGAGCTTCGGCTAGGAGTTGACTCACAGAAACTGGTTTTGTGTATTCTTGCGATGCCATAGCAAGCGCTACTAAACCGCATCTGTTGAATGTCACATTGTTGTTATTATTATACAGGTTTGTGTCTTTTAATTCATAAATAAGTAAATGAATAATGAAACTCACTGTGGTCCATCTTGCAAAATTGGTTCCACTTGACAAAAATATGTCACCTCCGCGTCTTTCAATTCATTTCTAGATATCAGCTTTTCAATTTCTGCCTCTGCTGATGTGAGGGTGATTTTTGCCCAAGGAGGCAGGGAATCTGCATCACTGACTTCGGTTTTTTCACACATAGGTGCCTCTGCCAAACTTGAGAGAGGTGGAGGCGGTGCTGGCATTTTTCAATAATAAATACGACACGAACAGCTACTTCGTTCAATTGATTCAAATACCTGGTTCACACGTTACAACAAAACGATGGCAGTTTCCACAACTATGAAATAGTGCACCTACACTTTAGTATTTTCAGTTTAAAAATTGCCATTTCTTAGTGGTGTCCTTTCTGTTCACTGGCTAGTTGCATAATATTCCCTGCTCATTGCAAATGCAATCCAATCGGAGATTCTTATAGAGATCCAAGCTGAAATATCAGTCAAAAAACATGCATGCGTTTTTTTAATATATCACCAAAACCATTAATGATAATTAATGAACAAAGAAATCAAGATTACATATATACATATATATATATATATACATATATATATATACATACATGATATTCTAAAACAGTAAATAAAGTAATATGTCAATCTTAATAGTGTTCCTGCTCTAACAAAACGCACTTTTTTGCCGTAGGTTTATTACGAAAAGAAAAAAACGGAAAAATTCCAACACGACGAAGGAGAAGAACGAAACTACACGGGAGCTGGATTATTCCAATTGCTTTTATCCATTAGTCGTTTAACCTTGAGGAACATGTTGCTACACAATATACTGTCATAGTTGGACGAACGTGAATTGCAAAAACCTTTAAGGAATATCGTCACGAGGACAATCGGTTTCGGTAAGGTCGATTACGTTGCACGACAACCGGTAGCGACCACCTCTACTGCATTTTCAAGTTACAATTTATAACAGCCTTTTGCACGCGAGAACGTACTCGCCATAGAGATTGTAATGGCAGCACATCGCACGATCGACGTTGGAGCACAATAGCAGTTGATAATGTTACGTATGAAACGACGATCACCGATCCAACGTTACGCGATTGTTGTTATGCGAGAGGCTCAATTTAGATCGGGCAATTAATCGGGCGATCAGTAGTTGTTTACCGTACCTGAAATATCAAAAAATCGCAGCGCGATTTTGACGTTTGCACGTCCCCCCCCTTAATCACCCTGTGACTCATGCACGTACATTATGTAATTCCTCGATAGAAATTAAAATTAACACTCGGGTGCATTGACGTGACGATATTAGAAGCACGTTCGGCCACACGACGATTCTCGAACGAACGACAATTACCACCCTCGCTGCGGCTGCAACTTCAATCCTATCTGAGGGAGCTCTCGAACACAGGCATAGCACGTTGTGCCTTACTCGCTGGTGTTCGTCACGGTATACAGTCTAATAAGAAATTTCCTGTGGGCGCCGCAGTTCCGAAGATGATCCACCAGTTTGGGCAAGTGCATTGTTTGCAAGAACCCTAGCTTCGGGAAATATATTGTTTATCTCTTTTCACTACGACTCAAACCGAACAGGTGCGGGGATTTTGGTGCGTATCGCATGAGACCATATTGCTCTCATGGATAACAGCTTTAATGCGGGTTTGGTAGTGCGGCGAACATCTATTGGTCAAGGAGTTTCGAATGCAACCATCACTGCTCGTTTCTAAATGTGGCGCGACGCATCGAAATGCTGCATATAGGTCGATATCGTGAAATGTACGAAGAGGTCGAAGATTAGGATTCTGTTATATATTTGTTTTTGTAAATTTTTGTAATTTTGATATGTAAATTAAGTACAATATTTTAACTGTAGTTATTTCTTGATCTTACTCTGTGCTCTTGAATTTTGTGACAGAAAAAGAGATTCAGATAGATAGATTTTTCAATCACAATACAAAGTTTTACTCAGAATGTATTTTATCATAATAAAATACATTTTAAATACTATTTTTTATAATATTTTTGTTCAACGTGATTTGATAAATATATATTGAAGGCAACTCTTTTTTTCTCAAGTAAAGATTCTTTTCTGCAGCAAAACTTCTATAATTTGGAGTACAATCGAAGGTAAATAAAACCATTGACTAAAGATAGAGTAGACCAGACATGAAATGGGATTTTGTGTTCAGAGGGGATTCTGAAATACCAACTAGAAAAAAAAATCACTGGTTTTTTAGCGCACTCTACCCTTAAGCCACAGATGTAGCGACCGCGCAATTGAAAACAGCGCCACCTACATTCGCTCAAATTTTTCGTTGCAAGTTTCCAATAAGACATGCAGCGACACCTTTTTTGTAAAAAATAGAAAACCTGGAAAAACTGCAAAAAACGCGGGAAAAGAGTTTTCACCCTCTTCGCAAATCAAGGGTATAAAACCTAGTTGCAAAGAGAGAAAAGTCCTACTTTCGCTACTTCTGCTTTGCCTACTACTACTACTACTACTGCTGGTAAGAAACACTCCGTATTAAAATTTGTAAGCGCACATTTATGATATTCACTAGAAGAAATAAATCAGACTATACAGGGTGTTTCGTAACTTGTGAAACCCACTTCGGGAGCTGATTGTACGCCTAAAAATAATGAAAAAAAGTCATATAAATATATGTCCTATCTATCTTCGTCAGAAGAACCTTGGGCAGAATTCTGCCTTACCCACTCCGGTTCCTACACGGACATGGACCCTTAAGCCATCTTACGGACTTTTGTGACCCGTGATTTGAAATACCGACATACAAAAAAAAAGTTTTTTACCGCACTCTATGTCTAACAACGGTGAATTGGGTAACTACAAAATTATATTCACGTGAACTTAATTTAACTTACGTTAAAACGTGTTTCTCACCTTTCTGCACATTTATATATTAAAAAGGATATTTAGATAACTGAGAATAAGGACTTTGAAACGGTAATTAATTGTACTTCAAATTATTATAATATTATTATATTTATGTACAAATGAAGATTATAAATCATACAATTAATCGTTTCTATATTCAGTATATAAAAATAATTAGCTTCTATAATATTAAAAGTAATAGTAAGTTTATTGTTGCACCTCCAATTGAATTGTAAGATCGAGAAGACTATTGATGTTACATTTTAAAATGTAAGATGAAAAGTTTTTAACATAATTATATTTGATTAGGAATTTGTGATAGAATTTAAGGCACACAATGGAGGTACATTGACTATTCTTTTTCATATGAATATGCTTTTTCACGCAATAAAGATTCTGTATCTATAATAAACCATCTTTCTTCATTAAATATCTCGTCTGCATTCTGTACGCTTACAAGATTGACTTCACATAAAAATACTTCTGTTATTGTACATAATTCTGTATCAGACCTAACAAAAACATAAACATAGATATTAGCTGTGGAATAATATATTACACCTTTTTACATTAGAGGTACGAATCGAATAGATTGACTTATTTTATTAAATTAAGTAACGATTTTATATAAAAATATATAGAGCGACACATAAATAATGAAATATTTTTACAAATTATCATAAGAAATAGGCATTGTACAAAACGAATCGGTTTAAATAGTTGTGATATCAAAGTAAGAACGTAAAAATAAATAATAAATAGATTTTAAATTTAATATCGCTTCAAGTCATATACACACTGCACTATAACTGTTACCATATAAAATAAATAGTTATTAGAAATTTTATTATCTTTTCCAGGGCACCACATTGTAGTCGTTGCAAGAAATGTCGCAATAGATCTACATAGTCGTAATTACTTCTAAATTAGAAGTTATTCCTAAACAGTATTACGTAAACGTAATCTGCAAACCTTCGGTCACCTATATACCCAAAAGGGTACAATAAATGATTTAATAAACATGCTTTATCAATTTCAAAAAAAAAAAAAAAGAAATATGAGTCGTGTATTATTGTCTGTGAAAATTTCAAACTACATATTATACGCATAATACTATTTATCTCCTAAAAAGGAAAACATCTCGATATATATATAAATATATATATATATTTCTGATGAATAAACATTTCCAAAAATATGTTACTATATAATATGTTTGTTTCGTATAACGGATTTTATAAAAAGTAGGCACAAATTTTATAGATAGCTGAAACATTTTCATTTCCTTTAATCTTCGTGTTATTAACAATTATAGAATAGGCGCTGAAATTTTCTCTAACTCGTAAAAACAATATCCTTATAGTTTCATGGAAACTGTCGTATACCACAGAGCGTAGTAAAGCATTTTCTTTGACATGCTCCTAAATTGATTCGTTAAAAATTATCGGTTTATACATCCCAATAATTTATCACACGTTCAATGTGCTGAAAGTGAATTACGAATATTTCACTCGTACGTCTGGTCTACATTGAACGTATGATAGAAACATGCATCTTAGAGAACATTTATATACAATGTATCACTGCGCGTATTGATTAAATATTTCTGAGTCATAATACTTTTGTTCTTTAACCCTTTAACTGCGAATAGCGCCTACAGACGTTTAAGGGTATTTTGTTTTTGACCGCTCCGCAGTCAAAAGGTTAATTCAAAGAAGACAAACACATTGCATTATGAACGATGTGTGAGTACCTGACTCTAATCATTGGCTTTCCCGCGTTGTTCGAAATTTGTCCACAATATTTTATATAAAATAAGGGCAGTGAATAAGATTCTTTCATGTATATTTAATTTACAAAATATCAAGAGAGCTGAGACACGTGTAAAAACTTTACTCGAACTTATCTCGAATAAAGTCGATTAAATGTTATTTAATCTTCGAGTACCCGCACATCGCTATACGTTTTACTAAAAAAAAAGATAGAAGAAAAGAAACGATAAATCTATCCTAGTCAGCCTTCTGTATGTTCCCGCTTCGCATGGTATTTGAGCAGTAGCTGCCGGTCTTCCCGGTACTTATTATTAGTGTTTATTTGGGTTAGAGTCTGAATCCGGTTCAGAACCGGAACCTGAAGACTCCCCAGCGTTAATGTTCGCACTGCAGCGCGAGCTCCTTCGGCTACTGGAAGTCGCGTGTCTACATTTTTCGCTACGATCCAATGTACCTGCAATAATTTTACGTAAAAATTAGTATTTCGTGAAAAAATCATATAATTTTATTATATTATTTGTATATATATCATGTATATTACTTGTGTAAAATACGTGTATAAGTTATATTGGAACCCTGATAAATTATGTAAGTAACATAATTATAACAAGAAACCTTTTTTAGTCGGATGTTACAATTGATACTCACTAGTTAATGGTGTATGAACTTCAACCTTTATATTAGCCGTTGCAGTGACCTTGGTTGTGATATGAGATGCAGATGCCACTGGTGACATTCGACTAGACCCACTTGTATCTGATCCGCTACAGTTCTGTTAGTTAAAAACAAATGCACACACGTTAATCATGCTCTGTGGATTCGGAGTACCACCATCACTCATACATGAGACAGCGTGTAAATGACAGTAAAAAAATTTTGATTGGTATGAAAGCAGTTAAGATAGAAAGCAAATGTGATAGATATCCAAAAGCACTCTCACTTCAAGTATGGTTTGAAGGAAAATGTCAAATGAAAAAGGGAATATTTCAAAATAATTTTAATATTGGCGTTACAACATACCTGATTGCCACAAGTTGATGTTGTTTCAACCTTCAACTCTGGTTGAACAATAATGCAAGATTCTTGTGTACTGTGCCATGAATTGGGTTCTTCCGTGATCGTTGTTAAAGAAGGCTCCGCATGTAACCTGGCGTTATCAATCTTGTATGATCTCCTGGGTGGTGTAGGAGGTTTTGATCTTCTGACGATTGGCGAAGCAGGTGGTGTTGGCGTAGAAATACGATCCGGATGGTCATTGGGTATTATTTCTGGTGCTGGTCCAATCAAAGACAGCAAAATAGGGAAGAAGAATAGCCCATTCACCAAACCGATCCCAACAAGACACAACAACACCAAGAAGAAATATCGGACGATGAAATCGAACTCGGAAAAGGCCAACATCATGACTGTTAATAGAGTTGTTGATGCTCCGTGTATTACGGGCGCATACATATGTTCCAGGGCTAAGCGAATCCTTCGGTCTCTGCTCCCAATGGTCGTGACAAAACTCTACAAGAATAAAAACGAAACTATAGAATATAAATGTGACAAGGAATTTTATAGATGAAACATTGGAAATCAAATTTTTACAGCAACTATATTTAGAGAAATTTATATTTATACTTAGAGCAAGAATTTAATTTATTGATTCTTTGGATCAGTTCACTTTTATTATCAATGTCTCGATTTATCTTATTTATGTCTGTACTAACCAGACAAATATGCACCGTAAAGTGCACGGAAATTCCAACGCTGACAACCAACAGAACAGCAGGAACGGCGCTCAGTTTTATGTCCCAAAGGCCCATAATTCCGAAAAGCTGTAGAACCACAGCAGCAAGTGAGGTACCGACTAACAAAGCTGCCCAGGGATTCAACAACAATATTCCAACAACAGCGACGCTGGCTGCTAGAGCAACTAACAGGGAAATGCCTAAACAATTTCTTAAATCCATGTACTGTTCCCAAAACAGGAACGGTATACCAGAAGGAAAATTTGGCAGCCCTCGTTCCTCGAATCTCTTGCACAACTTCCTCACGTTGCCAATTAATTCCGTGATCTCTTGCGTATCGGTAAGTTTATGCAGATAAAACGGCATCTGTGCGTACGTCAGGGGCATGCTTTTTGGAATTTTCAGCTCGTGATCGTTGGTATAAATCCATTGCTTTGGTTCGGGTCTTAAATTCGCTTGAGAAGCACTGTAAGCCAGAACGTCGTTGGATACCCAAGCGCTCAAATAATTGTAAAATGCTCTCGGATTGATGATCCCTTCGGAGTCGACTAGCCTGACTTGAGTGACCAATGACTTGTCAATAGGATTATCTACGTGGCCAGTTTGTACCAACAATTTATAGGCTAGAATTGCCTCGTCGCTGGCATTCTTATACCACCTTTCCTGCGTGATACATCCGTTGCTATAATCCTTGTCAAACGCGTTTTGCAGTCCCTTCAGCCAATCCCTGAATAAACTCAACCAAAACTCAGGCAGTCCTCCGTCGTCGTTCTTGATTACGTTTTTTATCCTCATGAAGGCATCGTGATACTCGTACAGCAATTTCTGATTATTAGGATACTCGAACTCTCTCTGAGTAACGGCGTACATGTTATAGAATCCAAAATATTTCGCCTGGGCAGCTAAAAATGAGTATTCGTTGGAATTTTGTGGGACCAAATCGGTCAGTTCTAGACCGTCGTTCACCCTTACAGCTTGCCAGACACTGCCAACGAGTATCGCGATTAAGATTATCATGCTGAAGACCTTGGTCGCCGGTTTGGTGACGAATGGGGCGTAATGCCTCGCGGCAAATTGTGTGAGGGAGAAACTCAGGCAATCATCCTGGCTGCATCCTGTCAGAGTGTCTTCTTCGCTACTCTGTTTGTCCGCGTCCACCTCGATGTTTCCTCCGACCCAAGACTCATTCTGTACGTTCTGCGATGTCAAGATCTGCGTGCATGTTTCACGACGTTCTGGTGGAATCGCCCTCGTAACAGTTTGTTTCACGGTGCCATTGCCCGCTCTATTGGCGTACTTATTTCTGCCGGCGTTCGACGGCAAGCAGCAACAGAGTATGTCCGAACGACCCGAACGACGTCTCCTCAGGTCCAGACTGACCATAGCTGGGAAAACGAGCAGCATGGCGGCCAGATTGAATATTAACAAAATACCGGCTTGAATGCAGAACACTCTGAGCGCGGGGATTGGAATTATCGCTGCAGCGAAGAACGTTGACACGTTGCTGATTCCTGTTAGGAGGACAGACAGGCCGGTCCTTTTCAAAACTATCGCTGTCTGTTCTCCGCTGGGCACGTCGTGCACCGAGAGCTCGGCGTACGTGTGAGTTAACAGGAACATATCGTGAACACCGAGCCCCAGAGTTAAGAATGGGACAATCTGAGTGGTGGCTGCGTTGAACGGGATCCCTAGGAGGGCGCAGAATCCCAAACCTGCCGCAACAGTCGCGCAGATTAGCACCACACCGGCTATGCTCACGCCAGCTTGAGAACGCACTGGATCCTTCCATCGAAAAAGGACTGTACCTGCGTACAGTGTCTGGAAGAAACATAGACAATAGATAAAGATGTAGATGATAAATTTTTTTTTTTTTTTTAAGACAAATAACAGAGAGCTTAATTTCTTCAAAAGATCACAGTGGGATATAATTGGATAATGGAAAAATTCTAGTCAGCTGTTTACACAGAAGTGATTAGCAACTTTATAATTTTCATATCCACATGAGTGAAATGTTGTACCATAAAAAGCAACGCAGAAGAAATGGGGGGAAAAGGAAATATCTACTGCAGATTTCAGTATCACTCGCGGTTTGGTGATTAAGTGATACTTCATCGGCGGTACATTTTCACTGTCCGTAAGAGCGTTAGAAACCGCAATAGTATTTCTACTAACCATCAGTGCGCAGCCAATGGCGATTTTCATAACGGACACCTCGCTGTACTTTCCAAGTATGTCGTTCATGATGGTCGTGCTGAACGCATACAAATTGTACGGCGTCGAGCCATTCGCGTCCAGATACTTCACTTGATTGCTGAACGCACGCTGCCAGGTTTCAAGCACTTGCGCCGCCTTCTCCGGGGACCAGTCGATATGATGTACCTTGTAGGTGTGGCGGAAGAACTCGTAAAGCTCTCGTTCTCCCATCAGCTGCACGACGGTCTGGAGCGCAGCTGCACGGGTCAAGTGACCGGTCTTATTGTGCTTAGCACCGCCGACGAGCAGTTCCTCTGGCCAGTGCATAAACTTCGCGGCGAAACCGTAACAGCCACCCGTTAATTCGGCTCCTATGTCCGGTACCTATGGGGAAACAAACGAATGGCGAGTCTTGATGAGTATCTTGACGGTCGTAGATTGTTCGCGATAATTTGGATTAGGTTGCTTGGTTCTACGAGGGACGTTTTTACGAGGGAAGTAAGAGAGTAATGGTTGTGTAATTGTTAGATTTCGAATTTTCATGCATTTATTAAGGCTGTACAATTATACTTCATCAAGTACTGCTACTTTCGATATTTTATGTGTTCTTACACATTCTGCGCATTATATATGTGCATTTTTGCACTGTTTTAAATTTTTAAAAATATATAAAATGTCCGAAGTCTAATAATCACGCATATCGATGACTTTCAATTCTTTCAATTTTTTCGAATACAAATACGATATAATTTACAATCTGGATAGAAGATGCAGAAATAAAGAAATTACAGTACAAAATGGCCCATTCGCTAATTTATGACAATATGGAAAGATACGAGAAACGTTAATTAATAAATAATCAATTCTAGACTAGAAACATAGCGAGAAGCATCTATTTCTTTAGAATTCCCAATAAAATAAATTTATTACGTAAACGTCAAAATATGCACGTTTCTAAAAAATAAAAATATGATCACAATGAAATTAACGTGATTCCTCGTTCAATTTGTTTACGTATCTTTCCATGAGGGAAACGTATTAATTTGATTCTACGGAGAATTTCAAAGCACATTATTCAAGAAGCGCGATATTTCAAAGGGAATACCACCTGCGACATTTATATTCCCCACGAAGTCTCATTAAATGGACACTAATGAATTGTAGGACTATTACAATGCATTCGTTACAGAGACTAAGCCTCTCCGCGATTCTCTGTTTGCGTTATTTATTTCGGCGCGATACAGAGAAACATTGGACAACGTCCAACAAACTAAATGGCGATCGTTTAAAATCCTCGTTGGTATGTCTCTTTTATAGGATTCCATTAAATCTCGCTGTGAGGTCCTTAATACGCTGTGCCGTCGTTTTTACTTCCCATCGTATTTTTATCATTTCCTGGCCGAAAAGAACGTTCATCGTGAAATACTTTTCCGATTTGGATCTTTCGAAAGGCAGACGAGTTTCTGACATTAATTTCAATCACATTGTAGAATTATTTATTTATTTCTATTAATTTGTCAAAATGGAGCTGAATTATTTACATTATACATTAACAAGACTGAAGAGATCTCCACACTCGTTATAAAAGAAAAATTTAGCAAATAACACAGTAATTATTGTTTATCTAGATTCTATTTTTTAAATTATATATATATATAAATAAATAATTATATATATAATTATATAAATATAAATAATTTAAAAAATAGAATCTAGATAAACAATAATTATATATATATATACAAATAGTATTTCTATTATATATATATATAACAATAATTATATATATATATATAGAAATACTAATCTACATGAAAATCTACGATCTATGATTTTTATCAAAATCAGAGAGGTATAATTAAAAGTATAAAAAAATAATGCCATAGGAATGAAAGAAATGTTGTGTACTTGACTATCGTACGAGTGAATGAATTCTACAAATATTAGGTGTGAATGAACTTCACGCAACAGGTAAACATATTTATGACATTACACAGAGGGTCGAGTATGAATGAATTCTACGAATGCACGTACAGTTTAAACAAGATACACGACACGAGTATGCGATGAATGCTTGATAATCTGGCCAGTGCAATCAAATAACAGATTACTATAGCGTGTGAAAGCAAAACATTTTTCTCCATTTAACTCTAAAAGAAGATCCGTCATTAAGTTCAATGTTTATTTTGTTCCAAAAATTTAGGAAAATCAACTCAGAACATTACTTTGGAATTGTCCCAAAACTTGTCCCACAAATCAACTTTTAAGAGATCATTGCAAACAAGAGACTCTTCACATGGTCATACTGAAAAGAATACGTAAGATCATTCGAATTTGTAAAATTTTAAAATAAAAGGAAACATGGAACTCCGTTTTCTCGCTCGGTCAAGGGAAAAAAGTCTTTGACGAAGTGGTAGATCCCATCCGTCACCCCAAAGTTATAATTTAGTCGAGCATAATTCAATTTCCTGGCGTATATTAATCTGACAAATTTCTCGCAGATTTTCCCTCATTAGTATGCGACCGAGATTGATATTTTCCTGCAGCAAAACCACATATCATTCTAAATGTCTCCCTGAATTACCTGGCAACGACCACGCGTGTACGTATCTGTAGATAGTCATCAATTAATTGCCTCGCAGCCGAGAAATTTCGAGTTCGAGGAAATCAGCGACGAAGGAAGCAGAGGGGGGGGAGCGGCGCAACGACGAAAAACGAGGATACAAAAACGCGAGATACCAGGCACGTTAATCGCATACTAACGAGCCAGTATTAATTACCAGCAATTAATTCGTCGATTATCTCGCAGCAATTAAGCAAACGATCGAATCACGCAGAGATTGGCCACTGCGCCTCTTGACCACTCTGAATCCGACTTACGAACGTATAATATGCACATTAAAATAATATTAGTATAAAGTATATATAGTATGAAAGTCTTGACTATGATTTAATTAGATTGATGACGTAACACTGACGCAAGATTCTTTCATTTCACAACATGGTGTTTAAAATTTTTCCATTTAAAAATCTGGAGGAATATTTCGAACGTGGACGATCACGGGTCGTATATAATCATTAGGAATAAAAAATTTGATGTAAAGTTTACAAGATTTGCAGATACCACATTTCATTTTATAATATAACATTAAAAGAGATATTCAGCTAGAAAAGATTACTTATTAACATTTAAATTTCCATAGTATCAATTTCGAATTAATAAAAAATACAATACGACCGTTTTATCGCAACTTGCGTTAGTCTTTACACACACGTTATTTCACGGTGAAACCAAATCCACTTGCTCGAACATTCGCAAAAAGCGTGAAACCATCGAACACGATATCGCGCGTGCAATGCGATCAGAATCAGCTATCGCGACGGCGATCTCCCGGTGGTGAGAAGCGCACGGCGAACAAATTGTCCCGGATCAGCGTTCGTGGGACGATTTTCGAAAAATCAGCGAACAAGATATCGTGATGGATCGCACGGGATCGTGGATCGATACACCGAGACACGCGATAATCATCGTGGGTGGGCTCTAGTGTTACCTCTGCGCTCTGACACCGCGAGATTCATGACCTCTTCATGCTAACCTCTTGCGCTGGAATGACATGCCACGCACGTCGAGAATTTTTTGTCGCAAAATTGCGATATTTTCTCAGTTTTAATTATATCTGTAGTATCGGTGTTATTATAATTAATCGGTAGTTATAATTTTGGTTATGTTTAAATACAACAGATGGCCTGTTTGTTGATCATAGAAATATGATAAAATATGAATGTGATGGGAGAAGAAGTCCAACGTAGGCATGGAGCGCTTTTCTTTTTTAAAAAACCAAAGTCCAGCGAGTTGAAAAACCGAATCGTGAGAGAATTGTTCAGAAAGAGCTGTTATAAGTGTCAATTGTGCTGTTAAAAGAGTTTACTTCAGTTGTTAATTCGTGTTGAATTGAATGTTATTTGTCTTCTTTAATTATTTGTCGTTCCATTATCATTACACCTATTAAACAAATATTATCTATATTATATCTCTACATGTTTGAGTATAACCCAGACGAAACAAATTTATTATAAATTTATTACTAATCAGTAATTTCTACTCGGCGATATCGTACCGACGAGTTCAAAAAGAAAACGAAAGAATTATTGTACACGGTCGCTCGTTATGGTCCGCAATCAGTTGCCAGCGCAAGTGCTTAATTTCACATTAAGAATTTTTATTCGAGGGGCAATAACGTGCACATTTGCTTGCGACTAACCGATTCAACCGAAGTCAATTGTTTAATCGTTCATTGATCAACTTCTGTTTCTCTGTTTCCACGATATATTTTTTTTCTTTCTGTGTCTCTTTTCTTCGAACTTTCTCTCGTCCGTGCACTTTTCATATCTGGCTCATGTCAACTGCATAAAGGCGTCGCGTTCGGTATAAAATATAGAGGGGGCTGGGTCGATGGATGCGTTACCGGATGTCGGCCGGGCATACCAAATAAAGCCCGGCGCTGCCACGTGTGGACATCAAGCGTTATGTAATTCCACGAACGGGCAACACTATGCGTGTCACAAAACGTCAACGTACTACTGGCACGATTTTCTTGTTTTTCTCTCCGCGTGTTCGATTACTGCCGCTAGACGGTAACGGCGAACCGGTAGCCGTCTTATGTTCCACTTGAACCGCACCTGGACGCTCTTCTTCCTCTTCCTCTTCCTCTCCTTTCGCCATTTTTCTTTTTTTTTTTTTTTTCTTTTTTCCTCGATATCGAGCGTTTGCTTCCGTTACGTCGATGGACCGAGTCTTCTAGAATTTAACAGAGACGCTATTTACGAATACTCCCACAATTCGCTAAAATGAATCGTCCCTTAACAAGTTTCTAGTTCCCACGTGAAGATAAATTTGAAACATTATAAAACTTACTTTGACAGCAAATTTTTACCTAATTTTTACTAAATTGAGAGAGTAGGCAAAAATTTATTTTGTCTAAGAATACTATACTACCGTATTTCGGATGTTGTGTATGCTTGTGTTTTATGAAATTTCTCACAACTAGATTAATACAGGGGTAAAATAATTTCCCTGTTTGTCAGCATGAGTTTTTATGTAAAACATGCAGGAAATTAAGACTTTAAAATAATTACCCTGCACGATTAAAATTATTTACAAAGAACCAACGCTCTTCTTGACTGTGACAAGTGAATCACTTTTGCCCCATACTCTAGAGACACGTATATCGACCAAATGGATTAACCATGTCCACGTAGATCCTCGAACTGGAGAAGCAGCTGTTCATCACATTAACGATTTTCCCAAGGAAGCAGTTCCCGTTCCTTCGTACGATCGCCTATCTGCTGCGGATCGATGATTTTATCGATCACCGGGCTCCCAG